CCAGCATCTCTTCTCGACAGTTCAACAAACAAGAACAACAACACTGCCCTGCTAGGCATATATGCTGCCAGCGAGCAAATAAAACAGAATCGAACGAAGAACAACAAAATTAGACACATGGGTTTCATGTTTCAACCATGTAAAAATCATCTGCATACGATAAAGAATATCTGAAGTGCCCTGATGCACACGAATAAAACGTGCTGCCAGCGAGCAGAATAGCTGCTTTTTCAGTGTGGCTAGCATTTGCTAAGTAGATTTGCCATAGTTAGCTATGTTACTTAGCACACCCCGACTAAGCCTGCTAACTTGCCGGTCTGGACTTACTATATAAGTCCTGCATCTTGTCTATATACATACTCCAGATAGTATGTCTTTACTAAACTCAGCTATGTGGATACTATGTCTTCCATTTCCCCAGTCGAACTTGCTCTACTTATATCTTGGCTAAGTACAACATAGTCAAGTTATTAAATGCACTTGCTCCACATCCCTATCCTCGACATGTTTCCTTTCTACTTACTAAACACCCCGCCCTTTCAAGTAACCTGAAGCCCGAACCCCCGCAGCCCTGATAACCTGAAGCCCGTAACCCCGCAGCCCTCCTACTTGAAAGGGCGGGCTTGTTAGTATATACATAGAGAACATACCAAGGACATAGAGCGGTTAGTTCGGGGTTAGCTAAGTCGTACTTGTGGAGGATATGCAAGCGAGCTAAGTTGAACATAGGCAAGTGGAATAACATAGTTAGCTAAGTGATTTAGGGCATGTTGTACGGTAGCAATCTCGTGTATGCAGCAAAAAGCAAGCAGTCAAAATCAGGAGTATGTAGTGGCAAAAACACATCAGAGCGAGCAAGAAACTGTGGAGGTCACTGCTGAAATACTTCTGTTGTTGACAATACAAGTTTGTGAAAGGAGGAAGCTTGTATATTAATATGTGGGAGAGAAAACTATAAATTTGATTTCTGAAGTAGCCACTCGGCTCCACAATTCAATAACGAATCGTCGGTTTATATAGCAACCATGCATGGAAATTCAGAATTCGTTTCGGATACATTTACACCCTTTTCATAAAACATCGGTATCAAAAACCCAAGAGACATGTATATAGAAACATCTATCAGCAACACAATCATAACTCGCCATGCAGGGCAACATGCTCGCAGGCAGTGCATCGCTGTTTTCAAGGAACCACCTGCACCGTGTCGGCTGCCAGTCCTTTGACAAGGCAAGCCCTCTTGATTTCAACCACCTCCAGGAATCGGGCATTGTCTGCTTTCTTTTTAAACATGTTTCGCCCACAAGCCTCGAGCTCGCTGAGCAACACAAGCAGCTCTCCAGTGCCCAACCGACAGAACAACCAGGCCTCTGCAACACCGCCGGCTCTCAAAAGGACGAAGTCGCCTCTTGAACAAACCTGGCCGGGTGCCACCTGAGCCTTGGATGCGGCCTGGGCATTATGAGCACTTGCCATGCCGAAAACCTGCACCAGCATCTGCAGCAGCTCGTCATTTGCCAGTTTTGGCGAGATGAGGTGTGCTTCCATGGTGCATGGTCCACTCGACATTGAAAGGACGAGCTTGCCCAAGCACTCCTTCATAACAGAGCCCTCGTACCAGGAGCCTGGATTGTTCAAGTGGTTGGCAAACAGCTTTATCATTCGGTGTTTCCTTTCATGGGTGAAACAAGAAATCAGTGTCTTCTTCGCATCAAGCATCATCGGCAGGTGCATCGAATAGTGGAGTTTGGGGATGGCATGGTCGGGCCCATACACCTCTATAAACCCTTGGCAGTGCTGAACAATGAGCCTCTGGAGTTCTGCTGGGATAAGCGGCAGGCCTCGGTTCCCTTCCATGAGCATGTCAAGCACGAGACACAAGTTCAGAAACGACTTGCAAGCTTTCTTCACCTGTGCACCCAACCCTGCAGGAGCCAAGCTGAGCACATAAGCTCTCAGTAAGGGATAGGCATTCAAGCATTGGGAAGCACTGCCTTTGAAGCCCTCATTCTTGTCGACTTTCTTCTGGAAGCACTGAAGAGTTTCTTTGATGACCCCCTGCTGGTTCTGAGGCCAGCTGAAGGACTTCATGAAATCCAAGATGGCCCCTGGTGAGCAACCTGCACTGTATAACTGTGGCAGCAGCAAGCCAGCCTCTAGATGAAAGAGGCCATGCACCAAATAGATGTGCATGAAGTCATACATACATGTTTGCACCATGGGAAGGCTTTTCTTTGCGATCACACCGTTCATGTTGAAATTGATGCCACAAGCTTTCTGCATCTGGTCGAATTGGGCCTGCGAGCATCGCCCATGCCTCGCTTGCATCTGTTCGTGTGCCTGATATATGTCATCGTCCGTCCTCAAAATGAAGCGACGAACATCGGTGCATGCAATCGTGCAGAGAGACCCAGAAGTGTCGTGTTGCTCCACCCCAGTCTTCCCCACGACGTTGGCACACAGACCACATGGCAAAATGCCTGAAGCACCTTTAAGATCGAAGACGAACTTGATAGCACTTTCGTCTGCAAGGAAGGTGTCGATGCGAGCAAAAAACATAAGCTTGTCGCCATTGGGCATGGTGAGCAGGCAACCATTCTGCAGTGCTGAAAAGTCAGGCATGGCCACGATGGCATGTGTTAAGGCCGAGAGGCCGCCCTGGATCTTGTTCACCAGCTGGCTTCTACAAAGGCAAAGGCAGTACCATGACTCCTCTTGACAGCGGGCTGCCGGCCCGTACTCGATAAAGCTCATGTAATAACCATGGACTTTCCTTTGATTTGTTGATCGTAGCTGATTTCCTGGTGTAATTTCATCGCAGTACAGGCAGATTCGCCACGGCTTCTCAGCCGAGCTTGGCATTGCAGCATGTCGTCTCGTGAAGAAGGCTGCCATGCCAGGTTCTGAGACAAGATGTGCCAGGAAGGCACGAATGTTGAGGATCGGCAGTTGCTGCTTCTTGATTTCCTTCTTGTCTTGCACATCGACCTCAATGTGCCCCAACAAATGACCGAAATCTGTGTTGATGTCGATCTCATCGTCTCGGGCTCTCTTGATGCTTCTCCTGCTGGTACCCTCGTCGTGGCCAAGGTCTTGCAGGACCGATTCTAGGGCCGCCTGGGAAACGAAGTGTCGTCTACCCAAGTGTGCCAAAGGAACGGCCATGCTGCTTGCGAGCTCCAAAGCCCTGCAAGCGAAAGGACATGTATCTATATATATATATATATATACATTGTCTGTCTATATATCTACATAGAAACATGTCTATGCATAGGTACATATATACATACATATATAAGTACATACATATATGTGTATGGATATTACAGTATTATTTGTGTATGTTGTATATAAGTGTATACACACATGCAATTGATTATACTTCATACTATTTACATACATACACTGTTGTTGCATGCACAATGTCAGCGACAAAGTGCCAGGACTTCGGCTCTGTGTTGCACCTTTCAAAACCGCGAGCTGCAAAGCTGCCACACTTCACTGCATGCCATGGATCTCATGCATGCAGGCCGACAGAAATGCAGCACAATTCAACGGACATGAACCACTGCCCCAAGCATTGCAAAGTCCTACATGTTTTATGGCCCCTCGATCGCATCATGTGCATCGCCCCTGCAATGCAGCACTCAGGCATTGGCAAAACAGGAGGGGGTGCAGCCTGGCTTCTGGCGGCACTTGGTGCATCCATTTGGCCGCAAAGCAAGCCTTTTGGCATGGGACATGGACTTGTAGTACTCACGTGTCGGCTTCGCCGGCGATGTTGCACTGGCCTTTGCGGGTTTCTTGAGCACGGCCTTGGATTTTGCTGCTGGGGGCTTCTTGTTGTTCTTGCTTGGGTTCTTCTTCTGATTGTTCGGCTTCTTCTTGTTCTCCAAGGCATTGGCCACTGTGTCGATGCACTTCATGGCAGCACTCTTGCCACCCTTGGTCTTCTCATTCTCTTGATCCTCCTCTGGATTCTGCTCGTCATCCTCCATCTCAAGCTGCAAACCCGAGACCGCTGATGCAACTGGCAAAGCCCCGGCATTCGCCGAGCCCACATTCTGGTCCGAACCGCCGGCCTGCAGGGCACCATCACCAATCGCAGGATTGCTGGACGACAGGCCACCATTCGCAATCGCCGGCACGGTCTGCTGGAACGAGGACAACCCACCCCCAGCATTCGGATTCGCCGGCACGGTGTGCTGGAACGAGGACAACCCACCCCCACCATTCGGATTCGCCGCCACGGCCTGCTGGAACGAGGACGAGGCACCCCCACCAGTCGGATTCGCCGCATGGTTGCCGGGGGCGAAGATCTTGAGGTTGTGCAGGTTTTGTGTCTGCTGGGGATTCTGCATCGCTTGGATGCATTGAAGCATGCCCATCATCGTGTTGAGACCGCCCTGCATGCCCGCCATGTTGAAGCCCGCAGCAGGGGTCATGAAGTTCGGCATGAATTGGCCGGAGCCTGCACCCATGCTCTCTCGGACCACTTTGGCCGACTTCCTCACGAACAACCCAGTGGCAGCTGTGGCGACAGCATTGGGGTTCTGACTTGCCTGGCTGCATGGGGGGTCGTCAGCATCGTAGGCCTGTGCTGCCACTTGCTGGTCGACCAGCTCTGATGGCCCACCCGGGGGATACACGAGAAGGTGAGCTCCCTTGACCATTTTTTTGTCTTTCGCCTTCAGGAGCTTTTTGAACGTTTGCACGTGGGCGTATTTCTCGGCTTCCGTGCCCTGCAGCTGCACTGTGGCCAGAATCATTTTGACCGATGTTTCGGATGGGCACGAAATCCGCAGGCGAAAACATCTGGTCGCCACAATGTCAAGCTTGGTGTGAAGATTCACTTCCTCGCTCGAGAGCTGGTTGATATCCTGCACCGACAAATACGGTTGGAAGTTCGTGATGCTCTGCATGCCTCTCTTCGCACCCTTTGCCTGGCCAGAGTGGCTGGCTGCGAGAGCTGTGTTCAGACCCTGGGCAAACTTCTCGCTCTCCTCGCTTGTCCAGGGCCCTTGTTGCCAGGCCGCCATTAAGTTCGTGGCCTCGTCGCCGGTGCACTGCAGGCCTTGGAGTCTCTGTGACAAAGCCAGGCTCTGTGTCTGTCGAACCCCAGCCAGGCAAGCATTGCCCTGCATGGTCTTTAGAAAGGCCGTCGTGGACTGGATGTCGCCGATGAGCTTATCCACAGCAGTGCCCTTAGCTCCACTGGTCATGGCTCTGTAAATATTTACCCGATAGATACAGACTGCCTGCGAGCTAGAAGCCCTGCAGAGCGACGGCTTTCTAAGCTACAAAATTGCTTGCATGAACAAGCAACACCGCAGCAAAGAACAGTTGCAATGTTCATGTCACAGCATGTCTCGGCACGATGTATTGCAACCCAGCACGATTCACTGCAATCCGGACTTTTCTCTTTCACTCCTTTGTCTGTCCTTTGTCTCTTTCTTTTTTATCTTTGGCAAAGAAAAGCAGAAGCCTGCCCTCCTTTCCTTTCATTGTTCTTCTCCCTCTCTCTGTCTCTGTTTCTGTCTATATGTCTGTCCATCCCTGTCCTTCTTTCTTGTATGTTCTCTGTGTCTCTCCGTCTCTCNNTCTCTCTCTCTGTCGCTCTCTCTCTGTCTCTCTGTCTCTCCCCTGCTGTCCATACCCCCTGTCTTTCGTTGTGCCTGCAGGCAGGGCTAAAAGCTCGCCAGGCAGGGCACATGCACCGCTCGCCACAACTTTTCTTCAAAACACTTGTGCACGTTTCCGGTGTGAGACGAAGCCAGCCGGAGTCGGGCCAATTTCGATCTACAAAGACGAGCCCTCTCTAGCGACGTGCAGAAGCCGTTCCTTGAGCATGCTGTTGCTGTTGTTGTTGTTGTTGCTGCTGTGGTTGTTGTTGTTG